TTTAATTGAGTTTTAGACTTTCCGAATATGAAAGTTACGAATGTATTTAGTTAATTAAATTGATGTCCAATCACTAATATTCGTAAGAATAACTATTTAAGGAATTTCAATTAAACATAGGATTTAATTAGTGAAGTTATTTCTCAAGAATGTTCTCACGTTGATTTCAGTTCTTCGTTTTGTTACAATTAAATTAGTTACTCTTCATATTTTTTTATTTTAATATTTTCATAACACAATCTAGTTAGAGTGTTTAGGATTCCATTTTATTGTTTCCATTTGCAATTGGAATTGAATTATTTTATGCCCAATAACATCTCCTCGAGAATACGACCTTGGGTGACTCACTAGTACTATAATTACCTCGTATACTTACGAGCATTGCTCGTTAATTTTTAGTACATATTTGGGCGCATCAGTAAACATTTATGATGAATATTCATAGTTAAAGATAAAAATTGATTTTGGAGGAAAAAATCAAATTCACTCAATTGATTTTCCACATCACTACTTATATGGATCATACGTGGCTTGCTAAAGTCCATGTATCATGTTTATATAGATTGCCATGTTAGCGTTGACTAGAATTTTGGTGAAAAAATCAAATCGATGCTAATATTGTTAACGAAAGCTTAGCTAGTGACCTTTCTATATAATTTTTAAAGAACCGACTAAAATCATTAAAAAGTTTATAGTTCATGATTTTCTAAAACATTAAGCCTTTTTTTAGTACCAAACAAGTAATTTCTTTTATTTTAATATCCAATTTTTTATATTTTTCCTTTAAATGCTCGAAGTCACTTGAAAATATGTAATACTGACTTGTCTATGATCAAATACTACATGAAATTTTTTAACTTTCACATGGTAGTTTTGACTGACATGTGAAAAAGGAAAAAATTTAAAAAACCAAAAACATTAAATTAGTTTTGATTAACTAATTGAAAAAAAAATTCAAGCAAAAAAAAATCCCATTTCTAATCTCAAATTCCCAAATGAGCATGCTTCTCTCCTCTTTTTTCTTTTCTTCCTTTCCAATCCCTCATTTCCCTCAAAATCTCATTCTTAATCTCTCCGAGCAAATAAGAAAATCCCTAATTTATAAGGTTTGAAAAGTTTCTCCAAAAATTTGAATCTTTTTCATACAATCACCATCCTCAACTCTCTAGTAGATCAAATCAAAATTAAACCCTAGCTATGTCTAATAATTTTAAAGAACAAATTAACAATAAAATACGTGAACACAAATGGTACAAGAAGACAACACAAAGAATAACTCAAAGGCATTTTCTTTATAAATGAACGCCACTGCGTATTTCAAGATCCATTAGAAATAAATGAAGAACACTAACATTTATGAAGTAATTATTAAAAAATTCATTAAGTATCTTTATCGTGCTTGAAAAGATAAGGTTGTTCTTGATGAAGAAGGTCGTAGGTCTAATTTTAATGGGATGTCATTGTCGCGACAAAACCAAAGATTAAGCCAAAAGATGGCAATGAGAGGTTCATTTAGAGAAAGATAACTTAAGAGTTGGGTTTCTTGAAGTTTCGGATAATTCTCTATTATGTCCCCAAGTCACCGTTGTAATGGCTTTTGTCCAAATTATATGTTTTTTTTATTAAAAAAACTTGAAACTTGTTCTTTTTTATTTTATAAGATTGTCTGAAGTGCTAATAGGCTTTTTAATTCATTGATATGCATGTGAGTAAATGGTATATATAAAAAAAATAAATGATAATATGGATTGTTATTTCTAACTAACAAATATTATTTATTTCCATAAGTATCATTATTAAAAACGATACGAGCCAAGGTATTAAGGATGATAAGAGAACTCGTGTGTGTATGTGATAGAGAGAGAATGATGGCAAGGAAAATTTTTATTGATGATGCTGAACATAAAAAAGACCATTTAAAAGGTGTTTATTTTTGTACGTAGACACTCGTGTAATTAGATATTCATAAAAATAAAAAAAAACACAAAATTTGACACCAATTAGCCAAATTTCGTGTATTATTTTACTCGTGAAGTTCCCTCAATTTTTTTTTACGGATGGGTTTTTTTAGCTTTTCTTGATTTGGGTTTGATGAATTGTGATTGAAATTTGAGAATTCATTGCGTTTGTGTTATAGGCTTTGCAATCGCTTGTTTTACTTTTTTTTTTTCAATCGGTTAGTTAAAACTATTTTAATGTATTTTTTTCATGTATTAGTCAAAACTCTTACATGGTAGTTAAAAAATATCATTTGACAATTGATTCCAAATAAGTCATTATTATATACTCTCGAGTGATCGTATGCACTCGAAATAAAAAAAAACCTAAAGTTTTAATCAAAATAGAAGAAATTACTAGTTAGACACCGAAAAAAAAATCAAAAGTTGAGCACATAATTTTCTCAATGGTCTCCTTACCTAGACCATCAAGTCTCTTCCGAACATAATATGAACATCGAGCCCAATCAACAATCTTTATCCTAGTTTTCTTTGTTTGAGGCTAATTATTGATTGCCAAACCTTTATCCTAGCATTTATTATCGATGGTGTGCAATTCATCGTAGATTTAAAAATCATAAAACTTGATCTTATTCTAAAAGTTTTTGATGAACTTCAATTTGTTTTTAAATGCAATCATCATTATGTGTTTATCTCAAATTTTTTGAAAAAACCTTATTCAATTCTTACATAAATGCATATGATGCAAAGAATAAATTATTTTCTATATTTATTATATGTTTTTTGCATTAAATTGAAATTTTTTTATGATTTTATTAATGTCTACATAAATTATTATGAATCAACTTTCTTTAATTTTTATCTATAAGTCTAAACATGTCAATTCATTCCTCTATAAGCAATCCTCATGGATGTATTGATAACACAATGATAAATAGGAATGAGTTAAAGATGAACACTAATTTAATAAGTGTTAGATTATTTAATTCAATCTATATTTTTTAAAATAAATAACAAAAACTTATATCATAATTGTTCTATTTAGTTGCTATCTGTAATCGAAAATCATAACAAATATGATTTATGGATTTAGTTTAGCTATAGTCAACACAATTCAATCAATTAATAGATCTCTTAATCATTTGAATTATATAATCATTAACATGCAAAATCAAGAAACACATATATTTGAATAGAAAATTAACTATGACTAAGAACAAAGTTAGACATTGTGAATGTAAAATACAAAATAATATTTAGCTAGAAAGCTAGGAGAAACCGAAGCATATCTATTTTCCTCATGCCTTATTTATATCATAAAAGAAAGAAAAAAAGAATAACAACCAAATTGTTTTGTTAAAACTCTCAATTTTCTTATAAAAATCAGTTTTGTTGATTTTCTATTATGCCTTTGTTGCCGGATACGGATAAGATACATCTAAATGAAAGTTTGCTATTTTTAGAAAATTATAGCCCTATTCCTCATTTTTCCAAGCACCTCATGCCTTGCATCAAACAAAGGTCCATAACTCTTGTTATGGGCCAAAAGCTGTGATTGTCTCAACCAATCCGTCTAGACTTAGGAATTAGGATTTTCATAAAAGCTGTAAATATGATCTTGAACTTCTTTATGGATTTTAACTTACATCAATTGAAAGTCTCAAACCGCAATTGGTTTGGAACTCCAAATATGATTTAGATTAACTTTTCAAATCAAATTATGAAGCACCATTTGAAGGCCTAAACAAGCTTGGATTTTGACCTATAATACCATTATGCAAAGCATCATATGTCCTCTAAAACATTACCGAAGACCATGTCTTTCAAATTCAATGCCAAATCTACTAAAAAATTATAAAAAGCCCAAAAAATTTAACTTACAAGTTATATAAAGTTAGAATTTTCTAACGTTAAATCCATTATTTTAATTCTAAATTTATATTCTATACATATTTATGAATATTAATTATAAGATATAAAACATAACAAACAAACTAAATATAAGAAAAATAAAAAATATAATATAATGCATCTATGCTTTATATTTAATTACAAAATTAAAAACAATGCAATTTTTTTTCTTTTTTGCAATCTAGTTGGAGACTTATTAGCGATCCAACCCTATTGTCACTTAACGATCCTAGGTTCGTGATTTAAAAACCTTTTTCTCAAGTTACGGTGTTACATCAAATTAAGGAAAAGAAAAAGAAAAATAAAAATAAAAGAAAAACTTTCCGGACTCCAAGTGGTTTTATAAATTCCAACGTATAAGAAATTTGAGATCCGAAAGCGCACACAGAGAACACAGCGTACTGGAAAAGCGAGCCAAAAAAAGAAAGTCCAAACCATCTCTCTCTGCCACTCTCTCTCCACTCAAATTTCACTCAAAACTCGTTTTCGCAACAACTCAGTGGCATAGTAACTGAGTAAGCTCGGCCACTAGCTTCTCTCTCCTTCCTATGGTGAGTTCCCAACTTGCTCTTTCCTTTTCTTTGTCATTTCGTGTTTTTTCTTTTGTTTGTTAATTTTATATAATATTGCCTGAGCCTCAAAATATGCAAATTTGTTTCACAAATTATACTTGATTTGAACTTCTATCTTAGTGATTTCCAATAGAGCTTATAAATCCAAATTTTGTGAATTGCAATTGCATTTTCTTGCGCACAATTAAAAAAAAAACTAGAGTTTCTTTTCTTTTTCTTTTCTTTTTTCTGAATTTAGCTCTGTTTCAGTTTGATTAAACTGCAGAGTGCCAATCTTTTCCTGTAAAATTCTGAAATACGAAAATTAGGGTTGCTAAACCATGAAGTAATTTGGTTTTGATTGATTATGTTTGGAAATTAGGGATTATTTGAATTTTGATGTTATCTTTTTTAGAAGCTTAATTAGTTTAGTTTTATGTTTCAGTTATGTGATGGATAAAGTTTAAATTATGGAGAGAAAAGAATTAACAATTTATTGTGTCTTTTTTGTTTTTTGTTTTTTGTTTTCTTGTTTGGGGATTTCAGTTTGTGTATTTGAGTTGCATGTGCTGGATTTTCCATGGAAACAGAGGTTGGAGTTGAGGGGAATGATGAAGCTAAGCTTAAGGAGTGCAGGATTCAGAAAAGTACCTCTTCCTTGTCTTCGCCCAAGCAGATTTCCGACCCGGTTGTATACAAGCTTGTTCGGGTAATTTCTTTAACATCTATTTTGGATTCTTGTTTTCAATTAATGTTGTAGACTTATAGTTATGTATTTGATAGTTTTTAACTCTTGGGTTTCTTTTTTTATTGATGTGAAGTGAAGACTATTGATGAGGCTTCTATTTTATAGTAAACTAAGCAGGCAGATATGGAAATCGAACTTGTTTTGGGAATACACATAGAATCAAGGTTGCTTGTGATAGTAATTCTGATCCAAACTAGTATTCAACAGTAAAAAAAAATGAAAGAAGCTTTTTGGCGTTACTAATCTTTATGAGTTGAATAAGCTGCTCTATGTAAACTTGTGATTTTGAAAGCCTGGTGTTTTTGGATCACTTAGTCTTTAAGTAGCTGAAATTTATAACCACTCAGTGCATTCTTGAATGTCCTTGGTAAGAGTTCTGGCCGCACTATATTTTTCAAGTAGATGTAACATTTTATAGTGATGACAATGGCTGTGCAGGCCGCCTACCACCATGGTTGTACCCTACTTGCATAAATTCCATTTTCATTAAACATGTAGAAGCTCCAATTCGATGATTATAAATTCTATCTATGGCATTTTGGCTAGTTTAGTAGTTAAGGCTGGCCACCTTATCTAAACTACTTCTGGGGTTATCCCAGCTGTCTCTCCCACTTGTTTACCTGAACAGTCAAGATTCAATCTTCACTGGTAGAATTGAACTGCATTGGGCATCGGCTCAAGTTCCCAGACTGTTTGTTGGAAAGCATAGCTTGCTTTCAGAGAAGCAAACCAGCAAGTCTTCGAGGGATTGGTTTCCAATTGCTAAGAATTCTCAAAGGATCTTTCTTTAGTCAACTTCATTTACTTCAACACATCTATTTATTCATGTTGTTTTGCTAGGTGTCTCTCAATCTGGCATTTAGTCTTTGTATTCTTGGAACTGAAGGGAGAACATGGTATTTGAAATCTCTGCATCTTCTTCTTTGTTGTTTGTCCAGATGTTCTCTTTTCTTTTCTTCTCTCTCTCTCTCTTCTCTTTTACATCTCCGTGGCTGGTCAATTTCCATTCGCATTGTTTTACTTTCCTCCTTATCGGAGATGATTGCTATTATTGTTACTAGGAATATCAGAGATCATTATGTGTGACAGGATCTAGGTGTTCAGTTTACAACTATTTGAAATTCTTGTAATTCAAGTAAAAGGATTGGGCTGGCTTTCAGTGGAATATCTTATTATGTAAGTTTGTAACCACTGAAACATAACTGACAATTTATCTGGTTGGTTGTTTTCTTTTTAGAACTACGGTTCTATGAATTGCGAAAGATTACAAAATTAATAACGAAACTAGTGCTTTATCTTTGTATGTGTGATTTCATTTTTTCTACTAGTAGGAATATTATGTTGGGAAATGACTAAGTAGCGTGGGGCTAAATTTGAAAATTTGAACCTTATAAGAATCTCTCTCCCCCCTCTCTCTCTACTTGTCTGTCAATACATCTATGCATGCAATAGATTATGGTGTTAGGATCCTCCCCATACCCCCAAATCCATGTTGGATGCCACACTATGTTTGGACTCTATATGTGTGCAAGTTACTTACTCTGGAAATATGAGGTTATGCATTCCGAATTTGCCACGTTACTAGTGTACAGAGAAAGCAAACATAACGAGGGCATGTTCTTATCTTTCAAGTTCTTTTCAACTTTATATATGTTCAAGGACTTGAATGCAGTTAGTTGCTGTCAATGAAAAGAACTTATTGAGTTGTGTGATTGTTCTCTGGTTATGGTGACTTTCCTGCTAAATCATTCAGGAGGGTATTGTGATTTCTTTTTTTTTTTCTTGTTGATAATCAGTAATTTGATTAACTAGAAGCGGTATGCATTAACTTTTATTCTTGGAAGTCAAACCTATGATGATTGCTGATCATATATATGTGTTGGTCTCAAACTCTATTATTTATCTATTGCTCAAGTTGTGTTTTTTTTATTGGGGTTATTAGGATGGATGATGTCACTATCAAATTTGTAGGTGGAAGGAGATGGGAGATTAGTGCCTGCAACAGATGACGAATTAATGGAGGTTGAGAGCCTGCTTGTAGATGAGAAAGGCGGAATGCGTATTGTTGCAGACCCTGGACAGACTCTAGGTTGCATTTCCAATGAAGGATCTTCGCTATCTGAGAACAAAGAAGATGATCCAGATAAATTGAATGCAAGGCTTGAGGTATTGTCTGCCTTCTTTTATTCTAGCTGCTAGTACTTCCTCTCCTATAAACATTATTGCTTGTGGTACTGAATCCATTTTTCTCTCAGTTGTGCAAAAGCTTAAGGCTCTTTTTTTCTTGTGTTTTGCCCTATCAGCTTTTCGCTTGTTTGCATGTCATATGAGGTGGTTGAGGTCACCATTCTAGCGATGCAGATCGTAAAACTTCAGTGTAGTAGTTACTGTTCAATCATTGACATGGTTCTATGTTAACTCAAAATCACCATGTTGCAGCCCTTGTATTTATGTTAGATTTTTATGAGTTTGATCAAAGGTATAACTCACAAGGATCCACTTCAATAGTAAAATTCACTCTCAAATAAATGATCTGGATGAGAACGCCTGCAGAGGGTTAGGGAGTTTAGAATGCACTGCATACTTTTGGGCAAGCCAGTGATATTTAAGTCAAGTGTCCATTTGTGCACCATCGTATAACCTCTTTCATCAGTTAAATTCCATCCTCTTCTTTGTTTTCTTTATTTATTATTAATCCTTTATATCAAGTATCATCTTCTCCATCCTTTTTTTTTTTCTCCTGGCTGTTTTATGTTTGTCCAATTTTTTACTACATTAATTTGAACCCTTGATGCCTTGGACCATCTCGGCCTTTAAAATCTCTTGTAGTACATCGAGGAGATGTTGCAAAAGGTGAAAGAGGAAGAGAGGCTCCGCTTAGCATGTGGATCTCCTGATTGTTCTTCTGATTATGTGATTGTAGAAAGCCAGTGTTCTGATGAGCATGATAAATTGCTCCATATTGATGAGAAGCTACAATGTGAAATTCCCTTGCAGGAAACTGTCCCCTTACTGGCACCAAGTTTGAGTGAAAGCTATTTGAATCAATCTGGGATTGTTGGGGAGTGCTCTCATTCTCCTGATAAACTGGTAACTGGTGGGTCAACTTCGTCTGTTGTTACTACAAAACCTGATTTTTCCAAGTTGAAGGGGGACATATGCCTAGACAAGTTGTCAATAAAAGAACTTCATGAAACTTTTAAAGCGACATTTGGGCGAGAAACTACTGTCAAGGATAAGCAATGGCTTAAGAGAAGGATTTCCATGGGATTAACAAATTCTTGTGATGTTTCAACAACTTCTTTTATAATTAAAGATAACAAATTTGTTAAGAAAAGGAATGAAGAAGGCTGTAATGGTATGGATGGTTCCTTTGCTAAGGATCCAGCAATTGGCAACCAGAAAGACTTACCAACTAGCCTTGTTGGCCAACTGGATTATCATCAAGTTGTTCCTGAAAAGAGATTTGAAAATCACAACTTAGATGACAATTCTGGAAGTGACGATCATCAAACAGAACAGAGAGCTGCTAAAAGAGTTCGGAAGCCCACAAAACGATATATTGAAGAGCTTTCAGAAGTGGAGTCCAAAGAGTCTAATGGAAGGTTGATGAATTTGGCAAAAAATTCTGGACATGGACTGATATCCCCAATATCTCATGTTAGGCTTGTTAGAAATGTTTCTTCAGGTGGGAGAACTGTTATCACCAGGCTGGATTCCCTCGGAGGATCTGGGGTTCAGGTTCCATGTGTTTCTCGGGTTCGAAGGAGCCGTCCAAGGAAAAATTTCATGGCTCTTCTGGTACGTATAATCTTTTGTTCATGAGCAACATGCATGTGATTATATATATATATATATATATATGAAAGGTCTTTTGTTTTCTGGATACTGTCTTCATAAGATGATTTTTCTTGATTTTCTTTGCTTCATGCTTGAACAGCTTGCTGCATTTTATTTGAAGTTTTGTGTGGGTTTGTCTGCATTCAAAGCTTATATTTGTGGAGTTGGGAGTTGTAATTGCTTTCCTTTCCTTTTCTTTCTTTTGTTGGATTGAGGTGTCAAAAACAAATTGACTTAGCTAAGCAGTTTCAATTTGACTTTTGGTGACAGCTTCTAAGTTGAGCATGTTTTTGGGATTGGTGTTGAGCATGGTGTGAGAACTATGACCTTTATTATTTCTTGCCTTTACCATCTCTTAAGCAATGTGAATCTCTGCTAACAAACACAAGTGTGTGCATGTTTTTGGGTTGATATTATTGTTGCTTGTCGATCTGCTATTACCTTTGTTTTCACTAATTTTATTTGTTTGTGGGTTTATTTTTATTTTATTTTTATAACATAAATGCAATCCTGGTTTAATGTGAATGGCATTATGTAGAAATTCAATCCAAGTGGCATGGGCATGGCAGCAACGTTGGTAAAGAAAGCCCTTGGTGATCATAGTTTGCCACCAGTTGATAGGAACGAGAATAGAGTCTTGAAAGCCAGCCCTACCCCAGAACATATTCATCACCAGGTAAGATCAATTAAAACCTGTTTTGGAAATTTCAGTAATAATTAAGTGTAACATAAGGTAGGAGTGGTATCCATTAGTTATAAATAATGTGAAAAGGGATGAAGGATTTTATAATGCCTATTGGTTGTGTCAATAGGGAGATAACTGCCACTGCCTTCTGGAATTAAAGAGGTGAGTGAGCATGAAAAGGTGTGGATCTTGTTGCAGGGATAAATTTCAAGTTTTGCAAACTGGTTGGAACTGCACTAAACAGATTAGTTTGGAATGCAATTCTTATGGTGCAATGTCAATATTTTGGATTGACAAATGTGGTTAGTCAAATGTGGTGATATTCTGCAGGATTGCTTATTGGTTAATATGCTGTTGTTCTAGCATTTTGCATTCATACTAGACAACTGAAACCTATACTAGCTTGCTATATTTTGCAAGAGAAAGATAACGTCGTAACTTTTATGTTTGTGGATTCGTTTCGTGGTACTTATATTGCTGATTGGTATCTATTTTATTGCCCAGTTTGTAGGTGTGCCAGAGAAAGATAAGCAGTTCTCAGTGATGAGTGCGGTTGGCTTGGGAGGTAACACGGAACCGAAACACATGAATTCATCTGGGGATTCAGATGACAATGTAGTTACTGTTCCTACATCCAAAGGCGGAATTAGACGGAAACATCATCGAGCTTGGACTCTCGCCGAGGTGATGAAGCTAGTTGATGGTGTCGCCAGGTATGGAGCTGGAAGGTGGTCTGAGATCAAACGACTTGCCTTTGCATCCTATTCATACCGCACCTCTGTTGATCTCAAGGTATCTCAATGTTTCTTTGGTCCATGTTTTTGTATTTACATACAAATACATCTCCACCAAGAGTGCTAGTAGCCCTTGCAACTAGTGTTTTCCTTAGATGCAATATGTTTTTGACTGAAAGGATTTAATGTTCAGGACAAGTGGAGGAATCTGCTGAAAGCCAGCTTTGCACAGATGCCTCCAGATAATGGAGTATGTAATTGCTCCTACTTTTTCTTACCTCATCACTGATAGAACTCCTTGCTTACTGTTGATTTGCTCTACACATCCTCTTGAGAATCATGATTATTGATTTCATCTTTGAAAAAAGAATAATGGTGTTATTGATTGCGTTTATATGGACTTTTAACCCTTATGGTTTTCTGTGATTAACAACATAGATGAATTCTCGGAAAAATACTGGTGCGATGCCGATTCCTGCACCAATTTTGTTAAAAGTGAGAGAGCTCGCCGAGATGCAAGCACAGGTTCCACCAAATCTTAGCTCGACCAAGGTGGCTGGGAGTACTATAAAAATTGTACATGAAAAACAAACAGGGTTCTTGTAGCATTGTATCTACTAGATTTCAGTTGTATAAATTCAGATAACCCATGCCAGTTTGGACACCGTGGACTTCTTTACTGTGTCATTTATTGGCGGGGTTCGAGTAGCCACTAACTAATTAGCAGAATTTAGAAACACCTTCGATTTTAGACCCCAAAAAACAGAGTGAATTAGTTATGGAAAAAAAAAAAAATAGTTACTGGCGTTATCTTTGTTCTCTATAAGTTAATTGATTTTTGCATAAAGACTTTAATTTTAACTAGAGATAAATGTCATCTTGTGAGCAGAAATAGACACTGGGAATTCTATTTACAAAATGCATGGAATCATCTTGTTAGCATAATGCAAAGTCCTCCTGAGGCTTTAAATTTTGCTTTATCTTGTATCAGGTCATTACCTCCAAATCCAACGTTTGAAATTCTATTGTATGTAAACTCGTAATTAGCACCAATTAGAAGGGGGCTTATAGGTGGTAGCGTATTGAACAGGAACTTCATTGTAAGTAAGTTACCTATGTTTTGCCAAAGCTATTTTATTGAATGATGAAACTCTCGAAGACTGGAAGTTTCGCTTCACGCTCAGATTTTTTAAATTTTGTCAAAGAAAAGGAGGTCTCCCTATTTAGTAATCCAATCTAAAATATAACAAAAGCCTTGGCCTCGGGTATTATGTTATAAATTTAAATCAGGTATTGCTCACCATAAAACAGAAGAGATCTTTCCCAGAAGGCCGTTTCAATCTCTCTCTCTCTCTCTCTCTCTCTCACTGGAGTAACTGAGATTTAATCTGTACTTAGTGGGTTTACTGGAGTGTAGAAATTTGATCTTGTCTTGGTACATGAAAAGCTAAATGGATGTTCTCTCACATTAGAAAATGACAAAAAAAATAAACTTTCATCAACTAAATTAATTACAAACCTTGCATTAGAAAACAATGATAGCCAAAAATCATTAATGGTCCTTGGAGGCTTGGCATGATAGCCAAAAAATGTATAAGTTGCTTATAAATAGTTTGTTTAAGACCTAAAAAAAAAAACTCAGCAATCAATGTGTCCAAACATGACCCTTACTGTGACCATTACAAAATCCTTTTTATAGCGACGTGTTTCTTCGTTTAGAAAAAGATTGGTTGACAACCGTTGTTAATAAATAGTGATGACAACATCAGGTAGACGCAATATGAAATTGTAAAACATGTCTGCGTGAGAGAGAGAGAGAGAGAGGAAGGAAGGAGAAAGAGTGAAGAAGAGAGAGGACGGCTGGGTTTTATCAACGACGGGAGGACATATGCCGGCAGCAGCAGGAGGAGTAACGCCAGCGAGAAATCTCAACGGAAAAGCATGAAAAGTGGGCTATTTAAGCTACGTGAGCGAACCTTGCTGGAAAGTTCATATTGAAGGCGGTATCTTGAGGGAAAAGAGAAATGGGAGGTTGAAGGTGACTGGGACGGCAACTATCATAATGTGGGAGCTGTAATCTGCAAGAATTGAAGTGAATTTAATTACCCTTTTTTGGATTGAGAAAGTAAGTTTTGTTCCATTTTTTGTCCTCGGTTCTTGCGCTGTCATAGTTCGTTCGTAATGGGTTTTGTTTAGTTGGGTCCTACGGCTACGATATTGGTTTGATGGTTAATGCAAAAACTTGCGAGCATGGGTTTAGGCTTTAGTTTGAAAGAAATTGTGTTTTTGACAGCTAATGAAAACGGGTAATTTGATCGGAAATAGTGACGGAGTTTGGATACTTCACCGTTATTGCCATAAATGAGAGTTAATCATGGCCTAGACTTTCTAGTTTTACAAAACTAATTAATTAATCCTCATGCAGTCATGCTTTCAAAAACTATATATAATCCTAATGCTTTTCAATTTGTTTATATCATGGTCCTTTTGTTGATCTTATTATTATTATTTTTTTGAGAAATACAAAGAGGAAAAGATAAGTAAATAAGATGGAAATTGTAAAGAGAAAAGAATGCATTTTTTAAATAAAAGATCACTAAATTGAGGATGTTCAATTGTTGTCAAAAGAATAGTTAATTGTTTTTTTGTTTAATCGCAGGAATTAATTAATTAGTTTTTCTAAATTAAATAGAGTAAGTTATAATTAACTCCTATAAATCATAGTAATCAGAATAATTTAAATGTGAATGATCTATTCTCTTTGACTTTCTTCATAAAAGTTAATTAATCCAATTCTATTTACATCATGTTCTCAAATTTGATGATCAAATTGAAAAAAATGTAAATAATGAATTCAATTCTATTTACATCAAGGTTATATATATATATATATTACGGAAAACCCTCTTTTATATGCATCTATAGTTGTGATCAGCTTGTTGGTTTTTTTTCCCCTAGTGAGATGAATTTTTTTTTTCCGAGGTTTGAAAGTATACATATCGTTGATAGATGTTTTATTTTTTTTGGTCTTAGTGCTAAATATCTAATAATACAGCGAGGTAGTTTGGAAAATAATGGGGAGGATTCCAAGAGATTTTTCACCACATACTTGTTTTATTGTATATTTAGGCTTAGAATTTATGTTTCTCTTAGTCAATCAAATATTTCAAAAACTATTCTGTATGTTTGTTTTTGTAACAGTAAGATTAGAAAATTTGATAATTAAAAAAAAAGTGTTTTTGAAATAAAAAATATTGTACCGGTGACAAATCAACTACTCATTTAGGGTCCAGTAACGGAGGAATCAAGTTATTAACGGATATAAAAAGTCATAAGGATTATTTAATTATTTCTGATGCCAGAGGGACTAATTGATTTATTTATATAAACTATAGGCACTAATTTATAGTTAACTTTTTTGAGGGGTTCAAACGAAAACAAGACGGTAGTAAATTCTGATGGGTTGTTGTGCAACGTAACGCGCTCTTGAACAGCAAATAAAGTGCACCTGATTCTTCGGAACTGCCACGTAAGCTGTTGTCGTCTGTGTTCACTAACAACAGCTGACTACTGTTGTCAACCAATTACTCCCCGTTTCTTTATAGCAAAATACCAAAAAATGAAAATAAAATAAAATCAGAATGTACGAAAAACGGGTAAATGTGGATTCTGCTGGATCTTTAAAATGGGCCCCCAAGTAACTAAGAGCTCTCTCTTTGTCATCCTAAGAAGCCCTATTTGTTTCCTTCTCTTCTTCTCTCATCGTCCTTCTCCATATACCTCTGACAGTTCCATCTAGCGACTCGTATCGCCTCCTCCACTCAGTTCCGGTGAGTCACCCATCGACCGAGCCATCCTTCTCTCTGCAGCTCACGCAGTTCCGGTGAGTCATGGTTTCTTTGTGTACTGAATTTCTTTTTTGCATTCATTATCAGCTTAATTGTTATTATTATTGTTGATGTACTGGAAGTTTGCGAAAGCTAATAACAGTTTGAAACTTTTTGTAGTTTTCATTCTATAAAGTTGGTGGCAACTAAAGAAAAGAAGCAAAAATGGGGATCATAGAGAAGATTAAAGAAATTGAAGCCGAGATGGCTCGCACCCAGAAAAACAAAGCCACAGGTTTTGTTTCCCATATTATTCTTTTTTTTTAGATTATTTACTCCTATAGTATTTGTTTTGAGTAATGACAATAACACATATTACAGAGTATCATCTTGGTCAGCTCAAGGCAAAGATAGCGAAGCTGCGGACACAATTATTGGAGCCTCCTAAGGTAATGCAACTTTCTTATCCTTCACTCTTGTGTATTTGTTGGTCACAACTTCACTCGATCTTTTTTCGGACTGACAACTCCTGGATGTCTTTGTACAATTGCTTGCCATTTCGATTTATTAAATCTTTATACTGCTCTGTCCTTGGAACTTGTACGGTATTTTTTTGGTCGAAAGGGTGAAAATGTGAGCAAATTGTTTTGAACCTATTGTTCTCTTGGTTTTTCCAGCTGATGGTAGACTGTTAATTAATTTGGTTTGTATTTTCAGTGTCCTTTTCCATCTTTGTTGACCAATGCTTTACATCTATTCAAGGCTTCGTTCTAATGGTTTCTGAATCAGGGTTCTAGTGGAGGTGGAGATGGTTTTGAAGTTACAAAATTTGGCCATGGTCGTGTTGCACTAATTGGATTTCCAAGGTCTGCTGTCTTTATTATTTTCAAACATAAGCACAGATATTGATGTGTCAAAAATTACCTTTGTGCTTAAACAGACACACATGAGGGGATATGCATCCATACACAGGCTTTGCTAACTTCATAATAGAACCTTTGCCAGCAGAATGCAATAAAGAAGGCCAGTCATCTGCCCCAATAAGTGTTTAGTGGGTTTATGCAGATGTCATTCTTCATATATTAGGACTTCCAATATAATAGCCTGAATTTGAAGTTCCTTATTTATCGAAAGAAAGAAAGAGGAAACTTTTCTGTTGTATCCTTGAATCTGCTGCCCACTCTCATCTACATATGCATGCTCATGAGCAAACTCAAAACTGCTATGCGTGCAATGTATGGATGTAGGTTTGCACATTTGCATGCACTTAAAAATACTGTAAGGCATGTTTATATGTACATATGAAAATGCCAGAAAGTGAAGTTGTCCTATTGTGATTGCAGTGTGGGGAAATCAACACTTTTAACAATGTTAACAGGCACACATTCAGAAGCTGCATCATATGAGTTCACAACACTTACCTGTATTCCTGGGATTATACATTATAACGATACCAAAATTCAGCTACTTGACCTTCCTGGGATTATTGAAGGCGCTTCTGAAGGAAAAGGACGTGGGAGACAGGTAAATGGAGGAATTTCTTATTTTTTTCCTTTCATAGGGTGTGAACATATGTCTATGTGACTGTTGATGAGAGTGTGATGCCATGTAAGTTAAAAAAAGGAAAGAATGATAGAATGTCTTCATGGAGTTGTTCAGTGGTCGTCGTGTTGAATTTGTTTCTCTTAATCTTTTCTTGCCTGGTTATATTGGAATAAGAAAACTTTTGTTGAGATTGTTTTTTTCTCAGGTTATTGCTGTTTCCAAGTCTTCAGACATAGTGTTGATGGTTCTTGATGCCTCAAAAGTAAGTGTACCTGTACAGTGTTTTGGCTGCTGATGAGTGGATATAATTGTTCTTGTAATAAACTGATGATTACTCATTAGATTATCAGACGGATAATATTTTTCTCTTCTTTTAACTGGAAAAACACTTTTGAGTATTTAATCTGTTTGCTAAATGGTGCAGAGTGAGGGTCATCGACAAATATTAACGAAGGAACTGGAAGCTGTGGGTTTGCGCTTAAACAAGAGACCACCTCACGTGAGTTATATGTTTAGTTTTAATTTGAACTATCTGTAACTACCTAAATGGTTACCTTGGTGTTAATTTATGAAATAACGTGAAACTCATTGCGAAAATTATATATGTACCTTTTTCTCTGTGAGTGGCATTGGTGTCTCCACTTGCGTTTTTTACTTTCCATATTTTGGCATAATTAGGAAACCTTTAGGTCAAACTTTACATGATGTCAAACTTTATTCAAGTTGGGTCTTATTTTGTGTGGCAGAGGTCAAACAGGTGCTTATTTCTTCCAGTAGTTCTTAGGCTTTACGGATCTTGATTTGCTTAATTTTGGTTATGCATTTCTTTTTCTCTGGCAGATTTATTTCAAGAAGAAAAAAACGGGGGGCATCTCTTTCAACAGCACTTTGCCTCTAACTCATGTAGATGAGAAGCTTTGTTATCAGATTCTACATGAATACAAAATTCACAATGCAGAGGTACTTTCTACATTTCGCTGTTGACATTTATGGTTTTTCTCTCCCCACAGTTAGCAAAGTCATAGGATACATGTTTTCAGTCTGATAGGTGATCAGAAGACTATGCATTTGTTTGGTATGGAACAACTTTTACTTATAAGAATAGTAGAAGTAACGAGATTTGAAGGGCAATTGATACTATGCTCAATTGCCCTTTACTTTTTCCTGCTTATGTTAGCTTCAAATTAGTTTTCTTATATGTGACAAACTCTCTTTTCTCGCTTTTTGATATTAAAGACATTAATTAATTCAGTTGCCTACAATACAAAATGATTGTTTCTTTAATGCTATAAATGATAATGAAATCTTCAAAAATGATTTCCTATTGAGCTTAACGTTTTCCTTTGCTGCCTGGCTATGTTTAATCTAGGACTTTGATGTTTTTAAGTAGTCTGTTTTAGATTTGCCTCTTCTTGCTTAGACATCACTTGTTTTCTGTTCTTTCTTTCATTCATTTGTTTTATTTATTTATTTATTTGGGGTGGGGAGTGGTATCAGATTATTTATGGGGAACAACCATGCTATGGTGACTTTCCTTCTCAACATGGTTTTTCACTTGTGCAGTTTTTAATGTGGCAATTACAGTATATCTGCTCTACCATTCACTAGCCACCCAAAACCAGGATACTTATTACTGATGAATTTGGTTCTAGGTGCTATTTCGCGAGGATGCAACAGTGGATGATCTTATAGATGTGATTGAGGGTAATCGTAAATACATGAAGTGCATATATGTCTATAACAAGATAGATGTTATAGGTATTGATGACGTGGACAAGTTAGCTCGCCAGCCAAACTCTGTTGTCATTAGCTGCAACTTAAAGGCAGGTTCTCTATATTTCATTTTATAGAAATATGGTCTCCCTTTCTCTCTTCTTCTTTGGGGTGCAAGGGAGGATAGATATTGGTTTTTGTAAACAAATTGCAGCAAACAGCAGAATGTAACCCAACCATTTTAATTTCACATTTTTGCAACCAGATACTGAATGCCATGAGTTTTGTTTTCTAATGCATCTTACTTCATGCTCATGATGCATGTTTTCCTTGCACTCCATTTTGCAAAAGCATGTTATTATGAAGTCTATGAGCATCCAAAAACAATTCTAAGGCTAAGATGATTTGAACAAACTATCATGTGCAAGTTTTCAATCTGTAAGTGGCTTGATAAACATCATATGATTTATTTCTTGTTTCTTGAACAGCTCAACTTGGACAGACTACTTGCAAAAATGTGGGAAGAAATGGGGCTTGTGAGAGTCTACACAAAACCACAAGGCCAGCAACCTGATTTTACTGATCCTGTAGTCCTTTCAGCTGTATGTGACGAATTGATCCTTTTTTTCTGTCAATCTATGCACCTCATGTGTAATCTATACTTTATATTTGTAGTCACTGGCTTCATGTTGCTTAATTAAGTTCTCATTGTGGATCACAGGATAGAGGCGGGTGTTCGGTTGAAGACTTCTGCAATCACATACACAGAAATTTAATTAAGGATGTGAAGTATGTGCTAGTGTGGGGTACAAGTGCAAGGCACTACCCACAGCACTGTGGCCTTGGCCATGTTCTCCAAGATGAGGATGTGGTTCAGATTGTTAAGAAAAAGGTGAGGCAAACTTCTAAGTAGCTTGATTAAAAAAAAAAAATTCACTGCATGATTCTAAATGCCTGCTGGATGCTACTCTGTCAACAACCTTTATGATTAGGAACTTTCACATCCAAGAATTCACCCTAAAATCTAATGCCCCCCTGCTGATCCCATTTTATGCATTGAAGTCAAAAGATTTTTTATCTGGACTTTAAGATTGTTTTATTTCTGCGTAATTTTTTTTCACCAGGATTTTTTTCTTTTCTTGTCTCTTACGACCAATAGTTGAATGTCTGGAGAATTGAAAGTCCTGTATTTTGTTATTCAGGAAAAGGATGATGGAGGAGGAAGGGGTCGGTTCAAATCACATTCAACAGCTCCTGCCCGCATATCTGATCGAGAGAAGAAAGCTCCATTGAAGACATAGAACATCAGAGGCGGAACCGGAGTATTAAAATATACAGGATATTTTTAAGTAAGAGGTGCTGTGTTTTCTTTTTGGACCTTGAAACAGTGACGTGTGTAACACCATCTTACGACACTAAATAGTAACCGTTAAATTATTATCATTCTTCCTTTTCTTTTAGCTTAGTTTTGTTTTTATCTGAAAATGTCACCTCAATCCTTATATTTGATGTTATAATACATATTGGTCCTTATTTTCTCAATTTATCTATTTAATTTAAAACAACCAGTATTTGTATGACAGACTCTTAGTAATAATAATCAAATCTAACACGATACAGTGAGGTATGATACATAGTAAGTTTTTCCCTATCTGATGCCATCTGTTTAATTTAATAATAACCAGTATTTGATGCCATCTGAGGGAATTCGATCGAAAATCCATAGTTATAACAAGAAACATAAGGGTCAATTGGGTAGCAACGTAAGGGGTAAATCATAATCCCTATCTCAGGGAAAACAATGAGAAACATATGAACAACGCATTAGGGCTAAGGGAGGAGGGGAGAAGGAAGGAGACGAGTGATATGAGCAAGATAGAGTTGGCCCACCAACAAATCAATATTTGAAGCATCTTTTCACATTTGGCAAAGTGAAACAAATGGTGGCCCAAGCCGTGGCTAAGCTCTAGCCAATAAAATTGCTTAATCTGTACTGTTATCATAATTATAGGAATTATGAGCTGTCAATAAAATTATCCCCGAATTATAAGAGTTGACCCATGATTAAGGTTTGTATATTGTTTTTTTCTTATTTGTAAATTAGCTTGTATATATATACATCTACATACATTCAATCACCCATGTAAAATACAATTTTTTTTTTCTCTGTTGTCATTTACTATCTTGGTAGATATCAAAGTCTATCTCTCATTTAAAATTCTATACCTAAGTTATGTCATCATCCACCTCCATCCGCGTTTGCCACCTATATTGTCCATCATACAGCATGTCCGCCTTGACATGTCTGTCAAGTTCTATATATCATTTGAGTTTTGCATCACTTTCTACTATTGCCTAATTTCTACACACCTTCAATGATCCATAGTGTTTTTTTTTTTTTTGGAATAACACAGGCGAACTATAAGGCCATTTAGAGGGTTGTATTTGTCTCACCTCTAACATAACCTTCAATTGTTTTCTCAATTTCTCCAACTCATAAGAGGCCATACAATAAGGTGTCATACCTAGTGGCTTGGCATCGGACACTAACTCAATTTGGTGATCAATTTTCCTTTTGAATGGTAACTTTTTATGTAACTCTAATGGCATCACATTTGTGAATTCAACCAATATATTGGCAATTTCTTTGAGTAACTCTGTACCTTTATCATCTATCGTTTCATATTCCCTTAACACCGTCAAGTAGGTGATTTTCTCTTTCTTAAAACCTTTCTTCACTTACATGGTTAAAAGGAGCTTCATTTTTGGTCCAGCATGAAGTGGTACCATGCATGATGTCTCTTTCTTCATGATCATCATTTACTTCAAGTGAGATGGAGGCATGGTTTTCACATGTTTAAAGAACTTCATGCCTAACACAACCTTGAAGTCATTCATCACGACCACCGTGAAATCTAGCATCCTTTTCCATACATTAATGCCAAGACTTCACGTTTACGCGATTAGTAGGCTTTGGGGAAGCATTTACCATCTTTGAGGGAACATTTACCGTCTTCCTACTACTCAATTGCTTGGTCACCATTAAATCAAGTCTCTTAGCCTCATCCTTAGCCATAAAATTGTATGTGGCACTCGTGTCTAGCATAGCAAAAGTAGCCCTACCATTCAAGTCCATATTCACGTACATTAGCCCATTCTTCGATGGCACCTTAGGTGCGGGCTTGACATTTAGAACATCGAGAAACCGTAATGACCCTATATACTTCTCATGCTCGGAAGCACACTTTTTCTTTTTCATCAAGGCATTAAGGGCTTCTCGCTTCTAGTACTCTCACCATTGATATAGCTCTTTGTAAAAGTAGCAACCCTTGGGCTTGAATTCCTTCTTGTTTTGTTTTTTGACAAAGCCTTGAGGCTTGTACGTTTTGTCTTGCCTTTCTTTGTATCCTTTTTTCTTTTTAACTCCCCCACCTTTAACTTTTAAGTCTTGCTAAGACTTGAAGGGTTCAATTTTCTTCTTGTATTCAATTAGAAATTCGGATATTGCCATAATTTTGATGAAAGTCTTAGGTCAACGGTCTCACACTTCTTATTATGTCTACAATTGAAGTCTCTTAATAAAATCATCTATGGGATCATAATTAGGTTTGTCACAACATATTCTCTAACATACTTGTAGATAGTTCATGTATGTTTCAATGTTTGTAACTTATCCCACGCTTCTCAATCAGCTTCCTTGAGATATAATTGGGTAGAGAGCTTCTTTAAACTTATCCCAACTAGGTAACTCTTGATTTCTATCTTTAACCTTTTGATGCTTTATGTGACATCATAGAGCAACATTTTTTGTGAGACGAGAGAATAACAATATTGACATGACTTCATCCTCACTTAAACCCACTCGCTTCAAATTATTGCTCCATTTGCTAAGAAAAGTTATCAATTTTTTTGACATCTTGCTTGTTAGCATAGTGCTTTGGTCTTGGCACTTTAACTTTTAGCATGTCCCTCAAAACTACACCATTAGATATGGTTTCTCGACAAATTGCTCAATCTCTTCTACGTTGCTCAAGAGTTCTCCAATACTTCATCATTGACTCTTAATGTTCCGTGAACATTTTTTTCATCCATTCCACGAAGACATCCTTTTTGGCATACCTCTCAATCGACTTCACTCGAGTTTAAAGATCGGAGAGCACCTCACATAGGCCTATCATGTCCGAGTCTCTTCCTCATCATCTCTTTGTCATCTCTTCAAACCTCTTTTTGAAATCGACAAGGTGTTCTCCTACCCTTACAAAACGTTTTTCGAAAGCAACCATCACATCACGAGACTTTCCTTTTCCCTTCTTAGGTTTAGGAGGTAAAGTCTCCTTCCTAGTGTCCATAATAGAATCCTCAATACTAGAGCTAGAAATGTTTACTCCTTGAACACTTAGCTTGGTAGTAAGCTTAACCATGCTTAGCTACTACTTTGGCTCGATACCACTTGTCACGGACTTAACATTTTCCAAACTCTCATGAGGCACTTGACTCCCTTCTCGCTTTAGTCAAATTACGTCAACCTTTCTCTCAAAATAAGTTGTAAAGTAAGAAAGACATAGAAAAGATATTAGAGAACTCTTTGTATTACTCTCAAATGCTTACAATTAACTTTCTTAGAATACAACTCTTGGATTGGATTTCCTAGATGGTTTAGTTAAATGAAAGTCTCACCTATACATAGTCCTTTACTTCCTCAATTGATGGCTAGAACCTATCTAATCTAATAACTATAAATGATTTTCTAGAATACCTCTATTTAGATATTTAAAAAAAATAAAATAAAATAAAACTATGTAGATATATATACGAGGAACTTTCTTTAGAATTTTTTAGGATACGTTTAAATTTTTCTTTGATAGCCTAGAGGGTTCTCTAATGCTCTCGAGTCTTTCATGGGCTTTTGAATTCATGTGACGGTCCCAATTAACCTCCAGAAACATCTTTCTTCGTGCAGGGCTCACTTAAGCTTTGCTAGAAAGGGTCGATCGAAGGATAATGGAAGCATTAAGATCCAGAGTCTAGGTGCCTCCAAATGGCAATCCCCATTTATGCACCAGGAGCTAGATGCTCCCCCTCCACACACCAGGCTCCCTAGTTTGGAAACCTACGATGGTTTGTTTGATCCGAGCGATCATGTTGAGTGCTTTTAATCGATGATGTTGTTATAGAGAATGGCGAACATGGCATAGTGTTGGGCGTTCCCGTCAATCCTAAACGAGAGAGCATTGGCACGGTCCTCGAACCTAAGATGTGTGGGATCTTGCGGAATTGTTGTTGGGGCGTTCTGCTACAAGCAGGAGGCTAAAAAAGACCTCAGCAATGTTCATGAGCCTACGTTATTTTTATTTAGAAAAAAAAAACACCGAGAGATTTCATGAGGAGGTTTTATGCAAAAACTCTTAAGATAACGGATTTACAGTCTCAACAGTAGTGCCAGCACTAATTTTTTGCAGTAAATAGTGAGGAATTTAAGAAGGCCTTAGCGCTGGAAGAACCTGAAGCGTGCAGGGGTTGAAGAGGAAGGCTGGACGATATATCCATTTGGGGAAAGTCATGGGGGCAAGGAAGAGTCGGTTGAAGGATAAGTCTAAAGAAAGAACAGGTTGGACGGAGGACCGATATTAACCAGATTCCATCGTTACTCCGAAGTTGAATATGTCCGAGCAAAAGTATTACTATGCTCATCAACGTTTCTGGGGCCTTTTTTGGCTTCCTGCTCGTAGCAAAAAGTTCTGATAACAGATCCCTGAGATCCTGAAAGTTTTCTACACATCTTTGCTGTAGATTCGAGAACCATAAAGGTTACTCTTGGTTTTAGGGCTGTAATTAGTTACTGTTATTTGATACATAGAAAATTAGGAAAATCATCCAGATTGTTTTGGGATGTCTCTCCCAAAATTAGGAACATCAGCTGAGCAGATTAAATATTAAAACAAAATGCACATAATGCTGAGAGCTGGCGCAAGCCCACTCTTGCCAGGTAGCGAATGAATTCCACTGGGTTTTAAAAGAAAATTGGAACTTGATTGGAATATTTTAGAGAAAATAAATAGATTAAGTTCAAAAAACGCCAAGTGGCCACTTTTTTCCTTTCTTGTTTCCACATATTTGATAATTATTTAAAAAATCGATGCATAAAATATGTAGGAAGAAGAAATTCTCCCCCAAAGGCAAAATAAGCTGTATGTGAGTTGGTATATATGCATAAACACTGCACCAAACGAAGAACAAGGTTGTCAAAGCTGAATTGATTGCACAACTTTTTTTAAAATGAGAATAGATTAGCAATTTATTCGTCACAAAGACACCGACTAATTGGTTATTGAAGGATGCACTTTAAATGATTCAAACAACATGAAACACTGTTACTTGGGACCTTCCAGTTTTCAAGTATGCATGTCGAAAAACTGAGCCAAAAGAAGCATTAATTATTCATGCCACAAGGACTTGAGAAAGGGTAAAAACAGACACTTCACGTCAGTCTAAATTTGTCCTGCAGCTTCGGAAAATAATTGAACTACTCTTACCCCCAGACATCCATCCATAAGAACGTTCATGCCCAATCCAAGGAAATAGTCGATAAAGAATTAACATTTGAGGCAAGAGCATGACATAGGTGTCCTTTCGTGTCACTGCCTGTGGTTATTTCTACACCAATCTTTCTAAACCTTTATGTTCTGAGATGGCCATAAACTGGTAAATGTCCCCTCGCCGTTGTTTTTCAAGCGGGAGGCTCTCTCTGCATAATTCCCAAGTTCACAACTCACAAGATAGACAACAGGAAAGAAAGTAATATAGCTCGTTAACTTTAAAACCAAATATACCTTCGAAGTTGAATTTCAGAATAGTCAATCTCACCAACCACCACTGTGTCCTCATGGCCAGAAGTTGCAATTATTTCACCAAACTGTTCAGGAGAATTGCAGCAATTATAACAGTACCTTTCCAGTTTTTTTTTTTTTTAACATCTATTAAAGAAAATCAAACAGTTTTTTTCGCTTTTTATTACCGGTCCAACAAGAGTAGAATGACCCCAAATCGTATAGGAACCATCAGAATCTCGAGAAGGTGAGCAAGTAGCTACAAATAACTACCACCAGAACATACCAACCAGCATTCATGTTAATTTGGCTTTCAGAATACAAAGGAAATGTGGAGATGATGTATGCATAAAATACCTGATTATCAGCTGCCCTGTGATTGAAGTGATAAAAAAAGTTTGTCAGAGTATCTAGACATTGGAAGCATGCAGTCACTCTCCATGCATTCATTCTTTTATGAAAAAGATTCCTTTTCATGTTACAAAAATCAATTATCTATAACTATCATTGCAGTGCAATTTGATTATTCTACTTACGGTTAACACAGTTTGTGCACCTACTCAGAATATAGCAGTTTCAATACAGCCATTGGCAAGTTGACTGTTAGTTTCAAGGGGAATTGATTGTGCATTTACACAGAAAATATTGATAGCAGTGACATGAAATTAAAATAATTCTAGTCCAATGCCCTGTGCTGATATTTTCTCTTTTCAGTTGACCCCTGAATCAGAGAACACTTCATGAAAAATATATGGCATGCATTTTACAACTCTTCAAATTGTAATTCCACTTTGATTTCCATGTCAATCAATCCACACAGTACATTAACAAAACATCGATTTTACTTGTGATATTTTTCGCATGCATATCTTCACAATTAGTTCCTTTTTTCTTCAGTAAATGGTTAATTCATTATTGTGAAAATTAGTCTATAGATTCGATAGAGATGATTAGGTCTTACTGAATGCTTCATTCCTGCACCTTGATGTAGTATTCTATCATCAGATAACACAAGCATGTAGTCATGCAATTGACAATCATAAAGATCCAAGAGCAGAATGACAAAATGATTGATGAGGAAACTATCATTATTTTCAATGCACTCTAGGTCAGAGAGAATGTTTTTAGATTTTTTTTATGCAAGGTGCTCTTCGTAAGCTTGAGCGAAGAGGATTTAGTATATCTACCAACTGATCCAATACCAATGCTTGAAATTCTTCTTTTTGGACACCATAAAGTGAAAGAAGGGTACATATTCTCACCTTGCTCTTTGAACCAGGTCCCACAATAGTTTACCTGTGCTCATATTGAATGCCCCTGGATAGCATATTAAGTGAGCACCTGGAATTCACAAAAGTGGAATTTTGTTTCACAAAGTATACTTGTATTACAACAAATAATCAATAATATCATAATGTGCAAACCTTTTTCTCGATATAGCATTGCTAGTTCAGGGAAGCGTATGTCATGACAAATCCCTATTCCAATACGGCCAATATCTGCAATCAAGACGGTCATTGAGTGCCCATTGTTTAGAGAAAATACAAAAGAAGCACTGGAAATATTTAAGTCCTAGAAGTGGTTCCTCAATCAAGTTGGAAAATGGTCAGATATCCAAGATCCAGGAAGTTGCAATAGTTGCTGTAAATTTGATGAGTTATTTTAAAGAAAAGCTGCCTTCACAAGTTCACATGCTCTTTCCCAGGTATAATGAGTTTAAAAATGAAAAAGCCTGTCATACATTCAAAAACCAAAGACTGTTAAGTTGAGAGCAAAAACCATTTTGGTATTGGGATATAGGATGGAGAGAAGCATAAATACAGAAATGTGACACCGAGAAATTTTCCAAGCAGGGCATCAAAAGTAAATTTGAAATAGAGAACTTAGTTTCCTTGGAATAGTAATCAAAGATTCAATACAAATAAACCTAATTATACAATCATGGTAGCCCACTTATATACTTGGGTTAAGTAGGCTGGCAGGGTGCGGGATCAAAGCTCATCCAGATCATCTTGGGAAGTTTCATTAACTATTCTATGATTAATAGGACCAAATACAATCCAACAAAAAACTACCTATCAGATTGAGAAAGTACTCTGAAATACACACCTGTGTCAACGATGGTGAAATTATCTCCTGCAGCGAATGTCTCTGATTCCTTGAACACAAAATCCCCTGGAATGTCAATATCAAACAGATGTACCTAGAAAACAAAACAAAAGTTCTTATTGAAATTGAATGCATTTAAACCCAATTGGTCATATTTGGTCAAATTTAAACCTGCTTACTTTACTGTGTTTACCCTTAAGCTTTCCATCTGGTCCAAACACACAACAAGTATTGTACAGACGATTTCTATTCCTCTCAGGAATAGACCCACCAACAACTGTGAGTCCATGGCAAGAAGCGACTTCAGATAACAAACAAAATGATGGCGAGGCATCCGCATTGTCAAAATCCTCAGCAAATTCAGCAAAGTAATCATTTGAACAGGGACAATTCCACATTTCCTACAAAAACAAAGTCAATCAACATGACTCTTGGATCCAAAGTCTTCCATAAACCATTTATTGAAGCCACACTCAACATAAAGATTCAAACTCAAAACTCACAGGTAATACAACAAGTCTTGCACCTTGCTCAGCAGCAACTCGAATCGAACTCCGGGCATGAATTAGATTCTGATTCTTGTCTGTAGTAACTGTTAGTTGGCACATAGCAACTTTAAACTGTTGGAAACACAACAACAAATTGCATTAACAAAGCTCAACATTCTTAAAGAAGCACACTGAATATTCATCATTTATCAATAAAATAACAGATTTTGAATTCAAAGTTAGCCCATAAAAAGAACTTGGAACCTGCAAATTCACTAAATACACATGACACACTGCTAAATACTCCCATACACTACGTTGATGGGATTTGTTTACAGTAGAAGCTGGATTTGACGATAAAGAGGATCATAATTAACTTAGTATTTTCAAAACTGCATTGGTAGTAGAAGCACTAAAAAATCATTAAGACCCAGAAAAGGAAAAGGTGCTGAAAGATGTCGGAAGCAATTGCAAACCTTGGTCATACTAGGTAATTCACATGCACAGAGCCAAGCTTAAATGACTGGGAGCTAACAATATAAGTAACTGGCTATGGATCAACAACGGGTAACCACTTCTGTTCCTCAACTCCCCGAGTTTTGTAATTTCTGGGTAGAGAATGAAGTCAATGAAAGAGTGTTTCAGATGAAGCAAACGACATGGTAGGACGCTTTAAACGACATTTTAGATATTTTATTTAAATGACCCATGCCTTTTAATAGTTAATATAAACAGTTAATAATAAAAAATTACGTTGATGAAATGTTATAATTTAAAATATTTTTTTAACTGAGTTTTTACTTTGTCTTATAAATAGGTACTTTATTACCATCAGATCACTACGTATGTTAAAAATTTAAAAAGTTTATAGAAAGAGAAATACAATTTATTTTTATCAAATGACTATGTATGTTAAAAAATTAAAAAGTTTAAAGAAAGAGAAATACAATTTAATGGAAAAAGATAATTTTTTCCACTTTGATTGTACAAGTTTTCCTACGTTGATTGTGTGATTTTTTTTTTTTTAATTTAATGAAGAAAGGAAAAGTTGTGAATTTTGAAATGAATGCAAAAAAAAAAAAAAAAAAACATTTATAATCCTGAGAGTGAGACTTAAACCCACATCCTTTTAAACCAAAACTTTAAGTTGACACTTTAAAAAACCAAGCCAACCTATCATTTTGGTTTTGAATTGTTAGTAAATTAATGTTATCCTAGGACTAATATAAAAAGATCCCACGACTTATTATGTAAAGTTTTGAGTGATAAAATTTAGAATTTTTATGAGATTTTCTACACTCTCGAAGCACGGTAGAAATTTTAAATATTTTATTGTTAATTGAGTTGTATAATATTATTTAATTTGATGTTTATATTATGAATAATTTGTTAGTCACCAATGTAGCCAAATTAGAACGTTTTTCTAAACATTAAATTAAACAAAATTCAATCCCCCATGATTATGTGATACTTATGAATGAGATGATTTGATGATGTATGTAATGGGTATACTTGAAGTTCATTGATATAAAATATTTAAGAATCGTCCAAAGGTTGATTAGTTAATTTTATATCAATTCACATGATCGTGGTTATTTTATATACCGAATTAGATATGTTTAGTATATTCAAAGATAGCAAGCATGTCTAATTAAAGTATACATATAATTATCAATTATGTGAAAAATAAAATTAAGCATCAATTATTTTATTTGTATATTGTTTGCTTCACTAAAAGGACAACTTCAATATGCATTATATGAATGTTATTTGAATCTATATTATGTGTTTAAATTATAACTTCAAGCATTAATATATTTTGCAACATCTATTTTTATTACTTTTCATTCGCAAGCTACGTTTGTAACGAAGTTCAATGGGCTTACTTTTCTTATTGGTGTGAGCAAATTTTGTCCGACCTAGGAGTTTTAAGTCTTGATTTGACACTCTCTAATAATAAGCCCGTTGTTCTTATTGACTCTAAGTATCGTTAACGAAAGATCTTTCCATAAGGCTTAGGAAAGATCAAACAAACTAACCTTAATGTTTATGCGAATGAATGTAGTTAGCAATATTAAGGCTATAATTCTCAAAGCTCGAAAGTGCTAAGGAATACTTAAAGTTTGCAGAAGGTATTTTTTAGTTTGATTATACGGATAAATCACTTGTTGAGACTCTAATGGATATGTTAACTACAATTAAGCTTGATGGTTCTCATAATCATGCATGAGTATGCCATTGAAATGACGAGATACAACAACAAAATTAGGATCCATAGGGATGGAAGTGAGTGATAGTTTCCTTGTGCAATTTATCATAAACTCATTGCCTTCGAATATGGTCCATTCCAAATGAGTTACAATACTATAAAGGATAGGTGGAATGTGAATAAAATGCAAAGTAAGCTTATTCAAGAGGAAGCAATGCTTAAAAAGAAAAGAATTGATTCAATTAGTCTTGTGAGTCATCAAAGAGCTAAAAAAAAAAAGGCAAGTAAGTAACACATAAGGTAAATATGTCATCTTCCCCAACCCACAAGAAGAAACCAAAGAATGATAAGTGTTAATGTTTACCTAGACACCATCATAAAGATTGCTTAAAATGTAAGGCATGGTTCAAAAAGAAAGGTAAGCCTTATGCTTTTGTATGTTTGGAATCAAATTTAGTCGAAGTCTCTTATAATACTTGGTGGACTTGTTTTAATACTTGGTGGACTATTTTTTATTGCACCACTCATGTTACTAATATGATGCAAGGATTCCCGATCATCCAAATCATAAATCTAAATGAAAACGTTATCTTTATGGGAAACCGAGTCAAAGACCTAGTTGAAGCCATTGGAACCTATCATTTAATTTTAGACACTTGGACATCATTTAGATCTTTTCCAAACTCTTTATGTTCCTTCTATTTCTTAAAATTTAGTTTTCTTGTCAAAATTTGATACAATTGGATATGATTTTAAATTTGAGAATGGATGTTTCAGTTTGTTTAAACATAATCATCTTATTAAGTTGAAGCCATTGGAAACTATCATTTAATTTTAGACACTAGACATCATCTAGATCTTTTCCAAACTCTTTATGTTCTTTCTATTTCTTGAAATTTAGTTTTCTTGTTAAAATTTGATACGGTTGGATATTCTTTTAAATTTCGGAATGGATGTTTCAATTTGTTTAAGCAGAATCATCTTATTGGTTATGTTGTTCTTTATGGTGATTTGTACAAATTAAAGCTTGATAACCTTTTTGTCGAGACTCTATTGACCTTGCATCATAACATTGGTACAAAGCATGGCTTAGTGAATGAAAGTTCAAGCTACTTGTGGCATAAATATTTATGTCACATATACAAAAACAGAATAGTCGGATTATTAAAAAATAGAATCCTTCCAAATCTAAATTTTACTGATCTAGGTATTTATGTGGATTGCGTTAAAGAAAAACATACAAAACACACAAATAAGAAAGAAGTGCATAGTTCTTGGAAATTATACACACTCGGTATATGTGAACTTTTTGATATTTCATCTTTTGGTAAAGAAAAGTATTTCATAACCTTTATCGATGATTTTTCATGATATGGCGATATCTATTTGTTGCATGAAAATCTTAATCGAGTAGAGGCTTTAGAGGTGTTTATTAATAAGGTTGAAAGACAACTAGATAGAAAGGTGAAAATTATCAAGTCCGATCGGGATGGTGAATATTATAGAAAGGATGATGAAACCGGATGATGTCCTGGTCCATTTGCTAAGTTGCTTGAAAAACATGGTATTTATGCTCGGCACATAATGCTAGGTACATCGTAACGGAATGGTGTTACGTAAAGGCATAATCGTACTTTAATAAATATGATTAGGAGTATATTGAGTCATTCTTCTTTTCCCTTATCATTGTGGATATATGCCTTGAAGACTCGTCATGTATTTATTAGGGTTCCTAGTTCCAAAGGCTTATTTTGAACTATGTATTAGAAAAAAACCTAGTTTGAGACATCTGCATGTTTGGAGTTGTCCCATAGAAGTAAGGATTTATAATCCACATGAAAAGAAATCGGATTCAAGAAAAACTCGTGGACTCTTTATTGGTTATCCAGAAAAATCTAAAAGGCATAAATTTTGTTATCTTAACCATAGCACGAGAATTATTGAAACTAGCAATGTTAAGTTCATAGAAAATGGTAAAATTAGTAAGAGTATGGATGGAAATCCAAGAAGTTAGGATGCAAGTTCATTTACCTATAAATTTTTCTCAAGTTTTTGTTCCTACGAGTTGTTGAACATTTTAACAACTCAAAAGAACGACAAATGAATTATCAAATTCCACATAATGAAGTCACTAACAATGAACATATAGTAGTTGAATCACAAGGAATAACGTTAAAAAAAAATCTTAAAGAGAATTAGATCTGTTATTTTAGATGATTATTTGGTTTATCTGCAAGAGTCAAAAAATGATTAGGAATGGATAATGATCCAATTTCATTTTCACAAGCTATTGAAAATGAAAATTCTATTAAGTAGTTAAACGCCATGAAAGAAGAGTTGAAATCCATATAATGGAGTTTGAAATCATGTTGAATTGCCCAAAGGTTGTAAAATAGTTGGTTGTAAATGGGTCTTTAAGATCAAACATGACTCAAATGATAATATCAAATAATATAAAGCTAGACTCGTTACCAATGGTTATACTCGAAAAGAATGTTATCGACAATAATAAGACCTTTTTCTCTTGTTTAAAAAACAAAATGACTCATTTAGAATTATTATAGCAATGGTAGCCCATTATGATTTAGAGCTATATCAAATGAATGTGAAAATTACCTTTCTAAATGAAAATTTAGATGAAGATATCTATATGGATCAACCTAAGGGATTTTTAGTTGAAGGAAAGGAACACATGGTATGCAAACTTAAGAAGTCAATATATGAGCTTAAACAAGCTTCCAAGCAAATGGTATCTTAAATTTAATGATATTATTACTTCTTTTGAATTTTTTTTTAAATTATTGATCGGTGTATGTATCTAAAGATTAATGAAAGCAAGTTTATAATTCTCGTTCGATATGATGATGATATCTTGCTTACTGCTAATGATCTTGGCTTATTACAAGAGACCACAAAATTCATTTTTGAAAACTTTGAAATAAAAAAATGAGTGAGGCATTCTATGTGATAGGAGTTGAAATATTCCTTGACGGATTGCAAGGATTGTTGGGGTTGTTTTAGAAAGCATATATCAATAAAGTTCTAGAGAGAGATCAAGAAGAAAAAGTGTTTTGCAAGTGTTGTTCCAATTCGGAAAAGAGATAAATTCAACCTTATGCAATGCTCAAAGAATGAATTAGAATGTACATAAATGGAAATGATTCCTTATGTATCCATTATTAGGAGTTTAATGTATGCTCAAAACTCGTATAAGACCTAACATCGGCTTTGTTGTTGGAATATTGGATAGATATCAAAGTAATCCGAGGATTAGACCATTGGAAGGTCGCAAACAAAGTATTAAGATGTTTGTAAGGAACAAAAGATCACATGCTCACTTACGGGAGATTCGATCATCTTAAGTTGATTGAATATTCAAATTCAAATTGTGCTAGATGTGTTGACGTAAGAAAATCCACATTTGGCTATTTATTTCTTTCACACTGGAGGAGCAATCTCATGGAAGAGTGGGAAGTAGTATGTCATTATTGCATCCACTATGGAAACCGAGTTTGTGACATGCTTTGAGGCTACTGTTCATGGTTTTTGACCGTAGAACTTTATTTCGGGACTTGAAATTATCAACAATATTGCCAAGCCACCGAAAATTTACTCTAATAATGCCATAATAGTCTTCTTTTCAAGAAACGATAATTTTTCAAAGGATGTTAAACATATGAAAATAAAATACTTTGTCGTTAAAGAAGAAGTTCGAAACAAAGAGTGTCAATCAAATACATTAGCACAAAGCTTATGATTGCGAATCCTTTAGCAAAAAGATTACTGCTAAAGACATTTAATGAACATGTCGAAAGAATGGGCATTATTGGGTACCGTTAATGACGTAATATTATTATTCGGTGTATTTTATGTATTTGACCATCTAAGCTCATTTAAGTATTGTTTTTTATATTTAAATATCTTGTTTTTTTTTTTGTCGATATATATACATAAATGAATTAAGTGAATATTAACATATCATTTTTAACAAAGACATTATTATTGGATCATTATGGTATATCTCATTACACATCATATTAAGTTTTGAACTAATATCGTTATACATAGAAGGAAGTATGTTGAATCAATGACATGCAACTACTATGATCCATATTAGTTTTTGTTTAATCAAGATTAACGTTATGACCAATGTAGAAAAAAAAATTAGCTTTTTACTATGCATATTGTGTTTTGTTAGACCATGACAATGTTACATGGACCAAGTGGGAGCATGTTAGATATTTTATTTAAGTGACCCTTGCCTTTTAATGGTTTAATAAATTAAGTGCTAAAATCCTATTAGTCAAGAGATATAAACCATTAATAATGAAAAATTACATTGATAAATGTTATAATTTAAAACATTTTTTGAACTGGGTCCTCTTTCTATTTTATAAATAGATAGTTTCTTTCTATCAAATGACGACATATGTTAAAAATTTAAGAAGGGTAAAAGAGAAAAATACAATTTATAAAAAAAATAGTTTTCTAAAAATATACGGTTCTTTAAAAGATTTCTCTATAACTGAATCAATCTTAACTATAGACAAAGGTACGTTCTCTTCTAAATTTTATTTAATACATTAAAAATTATAAAGTTTAAAGATTTTAGACAATAATGTTTATGCAAGATTAAAATTTGACTTTCCATAATTAGAGCATTTATAACTGCTACATTATAGACTTGCCAACGGAGTCAAGCCTACTCCGAAGAGATAGTTGTGAGATTCAATAATCGTTATGCTGTTGGAAGACCTCAAGTGCCCTCGACATTGTAATGCAGTGCCGGGATTCTTAGATTCAATAAATTCAAGAAATGGAATCGGGAAGTCCTATGAAAAAAAAAGCAGTATCTTTCTCTTTGTTTCTTCTTGTTATACTTAATTTATTGCAAAAAAAATTACTAAAAAAGTCATTCTCCCTTGGGAGATTCCACACTAGGAAACTTTCGTGTCGATTATGCTGTTTGACACCGTTTGCTTTATGGCCAAGAGATGCTTTTCAGCTTACTACAAAGCCAATGAGACCAAAATTGAAGAATCATAAATCATTTATACAATGGCTATCATTGTAAACCTCATCCGCCTTGAGACGTTCTAAGACATTCAATTCCCTTCTGAAAATCAGTGTCAAAAAATAAGTAATGTCTACAATCTGGTATGGCCTTGTACTGCTAGTAAGTTTTGCCATTGCTTTCCTGGTTTTCGCTTTGACAATGACTGGATGCTGCTCTCATCAACGGTGGTTGTCTCATTCAGAACTGAGGAGAAGTGATTCAGGGGAGAACAACTCTATCGTACTGAATCTGAAACCATATTCAACATCAGCATTCAAGTATAAGAAAGGGATGGCGAGTGCAGAGGCACTTCGTGAAACAGAATGTGTCGTGTGCTTGACAGGCTTCAAGGATGAGGAATGTGTGCAGCAGCTTCCAGAGTGCATGCACTCCTTTCACGCTCCTTGTATAGACATGTGGCTCTACTCCCATTCTCATTGTCCGCTCTGTCGCAGGCCAGTACAGCGGCTGGATTCTCTTAAGGATTCATTGACAACAGAGGAAAACTCCAGGGATGGGCTGCTAGATATACGCATCTCATCATGAGCTTTCCCCTCCACCTGGTTTTCTTCCTGAATCATAAGAAACATGTTATTGTCAATGTTTCCTACCTCATAAAGGATAAAAGGGAGTTCTTAGTTCTTCCATAGTTACAAAGCTGTCATGATGCAACAAAATCATTAGCTCTTCTACATTTAGGACAAGTTTCTTCCAAAGGTTTTCCATCAAAATTATCATCGACTAATCATACTTGAATGCTTGTGGGTAGGCATAAAAGTTCGGCACATTTTAATTGACAAACCACAAAAGGCAAATATATATGAGAATCAGACATGATATTTACAAAAGAACAATATCTCATACTAATTCACGATTGTGCTAAATATGCAACTGACAAATAACTGTCATTCATATATCCCAATTTAAGGCTTCTCTTTCTCTTCCTTTCCAATATCACATCCTTCTTAAATTATCTAATCGTGCTTGTAAATCATCGTCTATTCCACCATCTTCATGATTCCCGGTTGATTCAGCTTGGGCAACCTTGTCCTTTGCAGCTGGGACAGATACAGCAGCTGAGGGTGCATCCACAAGCTGCATATCAAAGACAACATCAAAATGGTTATTGTCTGCCGTCAACTTTGCTCCATGGCACAGCATCATTGCACGATAAGATGATGCTTTTCCTCCTTTAATAGCCAAATTCCATAGATTATGATAACATAAAACGAGCTACGAGGAAATGGATATACCTCGTTATTGATGCCAATTCCAATTTCATCAAGCACTTGATTTACAAGCTCTTCTGTTTCTTCCTCTTCTTCATCCCCTTCTAAAGCATCATCCATAGCATCTCCCATCACCTCAGATGTCATTTCCATCTTCTCATTCTGTCTCTCAAACTCCTGCATTATCTTCTGCAATGACGGCAAGTTCATTTGCCTATTCATTTGACCCATGGCCTTCGTGACACCTTTCATGGACTCCCCCATTGCTTGAGTTGATTTCAATGTCTGAGAAAAACAAATTCACTTTTGAATGTCGAATGGTTCCGACAGTAACATTAATCAACAAAAGCATGCAGATGCTTGTGTCTGTCAGTGCTATATAGCAGACCAATTTTGAGCATTGGCAAAAATACCAAAAGCACTTTATACCTCAAGGAATCGAGTGAACTACTTAAACAGCTGTTAGAACATAACTTGTGAGTTTAAAATACATCATAAGACATTATTCACTCATTTGCAACTAAAGGAAAATCTTATATTTCCTGTATCTTCCAGAAAAGCAAGCCCAGAAATTGAATTCACTAACAAAGCATGAAACAACACACTTTTATCGGTATCTTATGTGTTCTCAACCAAAATATGAGTCTCTGAAAAAATTAACACTAGCACAAATGCTTCAAACATAAATCAGAAATGGCCCAACTTAAATAGTATAACATGATCCTATTCCTAAATAGTATAATGCTAACAATTTGGAATCGTGAATCGATGAGCACCATGGATAGAAAATAGAAAAACATACCTGAATTCTTAAAGCTACACCCTGGAGTTGTGATTTAAGCTTATAGAATTTTTCAATCTGATGTCGGGTTCGAATAAGGTCTTTTGCCATTACTCTCACAGCTCCCTTCATGATAAGTAGACAAAACCCAATCAATCAGTGTTGTATGGATGAAAAACAGAACAAAATAGCTTTTTCTTTTCCCTCTCCAAAAACCCACAATCTCTCAAGTAAAATAATAATACCATTTGTCCTTGTTTAGCATTTTTCTTGATCTCGACAATGAGCTTCTTCTCTTGAGCTTGCAGTCCTTGCCTTTCCCTCTCTATTTCTCTTATTGATTTATCGATCATCCTCTTGTTTTCCCTCAACAGTTCTGCTTAATAATTAATTCTTAATAACAATAATAATACTGTTAATCAAATTCAACAAAATCAACACTGCTGGTAAATTAAGGAGTTCCTTTTAAGGGACAAAATCGAGAGTAAAGAAAATAGGGTAAGGTACCTGATGGGGTTTTTCTTTTGCCCAAGAGAAAACTCATGATGTCTCTGTATTGTTAAAATGCGCCTCCTCGCAGTCTAAAATATCAGATGCTATCTCTGTTTCTCTGGTTTTTTAAGGAAGAATGGAAGGGTTGCTTAGGATGGAAGCGTTGCGTTCTGACTTTCAGTTGTCTTGTTGTAGATGGTGAAGGAAAAGTCAAATGGGCCGATCCTATTTTCCTGGACCATAGGCTAGAACATCCATTAGTTTGGACTGGACCAAGAAGTCCAAACAGGATTAATGGGCCTACGCTTGTGAACATCCAATCCTCGATTTTATTTTATTTTATTTTTCAAACAACAATAATTTCTTTCATGCTGCCTTGTAGGATATCCTCATACCCAATGCATAGCAATCTTTCAGACCATTCACATGTTGGATTACATTTATTGTTTAACAAATATATTGGAAATACAAATTAATTTCTATAATAAAAAAAGTAAATTTTCTTATAAACAAAAGATTTTTCTTTACTGGCAGCAAAAAACTATTATTCTTTTTCAAATACAACAAATAACCTCATATTTACTTCACTTATGATGACATACAGTATTATAATTATTTGTAGATTAAGTTTGTAGTAATCAATAAACTTATGGTTTAGTTACGGTGATCTCTTTTTATAATTGTAAAAAAATCATGAATTTAAATTCTCTTTTTGGAATATTTGAACTTGAAAATAACTCATCGTGAGCTGTAGGGTCTTATCTAGGGTAAAAAAAAAAAAAAAAAAAAAGAATAAGCTTGTAGTAAATTAATTGGATTTAAAATCCTAGTAGGTTATATAAGGAAGAAATAAAATAAACTTTTCACAAATTTTTAATTCTTTTTTTAAAAAAATTATGATGTTTTTGTTATAATTTACTTAATTTGAGATAAAATTCTTCCATTATGTCTGAGCAAACCACTCATACACATCTTAAGAAGTTTATGAAATTTTACTTACAATCTATTTTAAAATTGCACATGTAAATACTAATGTGAGGATAAAACCTGGTTTTATGATGCTGAGTTTTCTATCATTTATACATAGCAAATTCTACAAAACAATTTAACCACTATAATCACTTTATACTTACTTCACGTATTATAATAACATTTAAATTAAGTTGATAGTATATTAATTGAACCCATAATCCAATGGGACAAACGATGAAGACTTAAAATAAAATTTTTGAATATTTTTATTTAGTATAACTGCAATATATATATATTTAAATGTTATGTTTTTCTTTCCAAACACTTCAATTTTTTTTTATATAGTTTAATCGTTTCAAATTAAATCCTTTCATTATATTTAAGTAAGTCATTCACATTCGTACTATTATATTTATGATAGATTATTTTTTTCATGACCTATCCTAAAATTAAACAAGTAAATACTAATGTAAGCAACAAACCAACTTAATATTGGAGTAATAAGTCTCCAAATGTTTTGTGGTAGCTTTTGAGTACAATATGCTCAGTTTTCTATCATTAACATAGCCAATTCTACGAAACAATGAGTAAACTAGAAATTAGTCCCTCTAAAATAAATTAATTACTTCCCTTTATTTTAAAAACTAATTATTTAACCCTCTATGTTTTAGTTTCGTCAATAACTTAGTTTTTTTTATCAGTTTTCGTTGCATTAATGATTTTTGTTCTCAAAATGCCTTTTTTTTTTTTTTTTTGGAGGAAAGAAAAAGAGAACTTATGGAGATGATATATAAAAAATAAAAAGAATGGCAATTTGAAAAAAAAAAACTCACTAATCTAATGAAAGAAAAATTGATACCAAAAATAATTTATTTAGAAATTAAAACATAAGTGATTAAATAAATAATTTTTAAAATACAAAAGGCTATTCATTTGTTTTTCTAAACTACATAGACTAATTTATAAGATACTCACAAAACAATTCATCCACCATGCTTATCTTTGGTTTAATGACAAAAATTATCCGTGTTTTATTGCAATTTGACAATTTGAAGTTTTTAGTAACAAATTATGTAATTTGAACCCTCAAATTATCGGTTTTTGGACAAATTTGATCCAAATTTCTTAATTTTCACTCGTCAATAACCGTCAATTCAGTTGATCATTAAGAAGAATGCTAAAACAATACCGTTTTGTGTATTCGGATGCTAAATTTTTATTTAAAAAAAATAAAAAAAATTAAAAATTATGGAGGTTAAATTATAGGAATAAGTTTTGTGCATTTCACTATTAATTTTTTTTTTAAATAACAATTGAATGTATACAACAAATATTGTTTCGCCGTTTCTCTAGATAGTCAACTTAGTTGACTATTACGATAACAACTATTAACAAATTTTGATCAAATTTATCTAAAAATTGATATTTTAAAATTTAAATTATGTAATTTAATATTAACTTAAAATTATCAAATTATAACAGAAAGGGAGCAGTTTTTGTCATTAAACCGCTCGTCTTTTAAGTTTTGGCTATTAGCCAATTACAAAGAAAAAGAAGTTTTAAAGCCTGCCAAGACCGCCATAGTTTTGTTGCCAATGGGTTAAGTGTAGACATCTCTGAACCTAAAATCGGCCTCCAAGAAGCCTGACAGGGTGATGTAGCCCAATTATGATGCTTGGGAAATTAGCAGATAACCGAATAGCATGACCCAACCCAAGTTAGAGCTTGGACTTAGCAACCACTTTTCGGTCCACTCTAGTTTCTTAAGGTTGGATTTGGAAATGGAACGCAACAAGTAATTGGACCCGACATTAAAGACAAGCCAGTACGAGAAGAAATGCCCAGCATAAGATTTCTTGGTATTTGGTATATAAATAAAATATAATTTTTTTATTCTTATACCTTATTTGGTGTTGAGGACGAGACAGAATAAAACGTAGAAAATATATTTTTTATCCTGATGAAATTTTGTTGTACATATTGTATATAAAATATTTTTAAATGGTCTTATCTTTTGCATTCGAAAATAAAAAAATTATAATTTTAAGTAAATAAGTATACATTTATCCTTACATTATTGAAGTTAGAATTATAGAAAAAAAATACTATTTTTTTCTATTTTACTAAGTTATGCATATTTTATTTTAAAATATTTCTATTAAATTATTTTATTCTATTTAAAAATAATATACAAATTCAAACAAAAAATAACACATAATAACTTGATATAAAATCGCATAAAAATAGATTGATAGAAAATACAAAATGTGTGGTACATTTTACAGCATGTATAAGAGTAAAAGAAATAAAAAATGAGAAATTCAATGGAGGAAAATATTTTTAAAAGCAAATTTCTTTTTAAAAAAAAAAATAGAGAGAGAGAAGAAAAAAAAATCTTATTGAAAAAAAAAACAATTAGGCTTGGAGTTGAGCCCGGATGCGTCTGGGCCTTACTCTACGCCTAGTCATTTAAAACAATACATATATGCGGATGAAAATTGACAGAAAAATATAAATTCTTATTTTCATATCATTTTTTTACCCAAAAATACTTCTAAACACTCACTTTATCTTTTTATAAACGTAAATCTAACATCAAAAACCACTTTTTTTTTAACATTTTTTTATTTAGACAAATCTAATAATAAAAAATAATTAATCCAAAATTAATGGCTAAGATTGGTAAGTATAGGAAATGACTTGAAATTTAAAAAGTTTATAAGGATAGATTTGAAATAAGATTTCGTAATATTTTTTGTCTTTCGTTTTATGTGTCCTCTCAATAAGAAGGTACGAAGATCTAACCAATTTCTGTCCCAGAGACAAGGATAAAGATGATTTTTGTCTTCGTTATCCTAAACCAAACATATATATACATATAATTTTGTTCTATTATTATTTTTTGCCCCTTATTTGTATCTCTCTGCTCCAGGATACCATTCCAAACCTAACCTTAGATCGGGAACCTCGTATTTGTATTTTATAGTTGGTATAACATTCAACATGCTTGTATTATGCTAATTTTGAGGCTTAGGTGGTGTTTGAAAAAATTAAAAATTAAGTATTGAATTTGTTAAGTACTCGAATAATTAAGTATTGAATTTGTTCCTAATAAGCTCGTTTGATGTTTACTAAAAATTAAGTGTTGAACATAATAAGCTTGTTTGATAAATACTCGTTGTTGAATATATTAAAGTTATATACATAACAATGTTAATCTGGATTTGAAGGATATCAACGGAAAATTGTACAAAAAAAAAATATTGAAGATGATGGGATTAGAAAAACCCGAAGGAATATAAATGAAAACTAAAACATCTTAAAAAAATAAATCAGTTTTTCTCTAAAAACAATAATAATAAAAAAAAGATCAAGATATCAACGGACATGAAGGAAAATCACTTGTAATAGAATGGAAGGAAAATTACTTGCAATGGGATTAGACATTGGCGTTTCAAATTCCGGGATGAAAGCATCGATAATGGAAAAGGTTTCATCTATTTTAGCAATGGGGATAATAGAGATTGTTTTTCAGTTGTTTGTATAGCTAAGGGTGATTTAGTTATATTTGAAAAATTTTAAAAATCTTTCAACCGAGCATGTTAATCAAAAAGTAATAAATTAAAAACTTTAACTTAACTAATTAAGTGAATTTTGACTGAACTTAAATTTTTAATATGAGATTATTTAGGTTATAAAAAAACTTTTTATATTAAGTACGACAAATTAATTTGTTAAACTACTTAAATAAATTATCAAACACCCTCTTAGTACTCATTTCAGATCATTTAAATGTAGATTTTAATTTCGCAAAAACATTAGCAAAAGGAACTGTTCAAATATTTTGTTTTTAAGATTTATTTTATTATTAGTTTATGCTTTCACACGATCCGTAAAAATTAAGATTATATAGAAATTTTTTAGTATATTGAAAATTACATTCCATTTTCTCAAAAAAAAAAAAAATAAATAAATAAATTCATGAATTATTTTGACAAAAAATCTCATGTTTTTGTGAGAAAACAAAATAAATCTCCTAACAAATTATAACATACTTAATAATTTCTTAAGATTATGTAC